CAGCTCTGTATCTGCAGTGCAGCGGGCGAGTTGACTCTAAGATGCCTGGATACCACACAGTCGTTGAGAGATGCTGCGATTGCCACCTGGTGCTGTCAGCATCTGCTGATGTTCCTGAGGTGTCAGGCGCCTGAGGTATTCAATGTCAAGGATTTGCTTGCTGCTGCGTGAACTTGAGAGCGTCTCCTGTGATCAAACATTGCGTTCGTCATGTACCACGCTGACAGCGTGCCTGGGCAATGGTCTTAGAAACATCACCACCTTCCACATGAAGGGTTACTTGTTTCACTGCAGCTTTCAGCTCTGTATGTGCAGTGCAGTTGGCGAGTTGACCCTAAGATGCCAGGATACCACACAGTCGTTGAGAGATGCTGCGACTGCTATCTGGTGCTGTCAGCATCTGCTAAAGTTCCTGAGGTGTCACGCACCTGAGGCATTCTATGTGAAGCTCTCGTTTGCTGCTGCGTGCACTTGAGAGCGTCTCCTGTGATTCAGCATTGCGTTCGTCATGCACCACTCTGATAGCGTGCCTGGTTGATGAACTAAGCAACATCACCATCTTTCACATGAGGGGTTGCTTGATTCACTCCGGCGTTCAGCTTTGTATGTGCAGTGCAGTTGGCGAGTTGACCCGAAGGTGCTTGGATACCACACAGTCATTGAGAGATGCTGCGACTGCCACCTGGTGCTGTCAGCATCTAATGTTCCTGAGGTGTCACGCACCTGATGCATTCTATGTGAAGCACTCGTTTGCTGCTGCGTGCACTTGAGAGCAGCTCCTGTGATTAAACATTGCGTTCGTCATGCACCACGCTGACAACGTGCCTGGGTGATGAACTAAGCAACATCACCATCTTTCACATGAGGGGTTGCTCGATTCACTCTGGCTTCAGCTCTGTATCGGCAGTGCAGTTCGCGAGTTGACCCGAACATGCCCAGATGCCACACAGTCGTTGAGAGATGCTGCGACTGCCATCTAGTGCTGTAAGCATCTGCGAAGGCTCCTGAGGTGCCACGCGCCTGAGGCAGTCTATGAGAAGGACTCGTTTGCTGCTGCGTGCACTTGAGAGCAGCTCCTGTGATTAAACATTGCGTTCGTCATGCACCACGCTGACAGCGTGCCTGGGTGATGAACTAAGCAACATCACCATCTTTCACATGAGGGGTTGCTCGATTCACTCCTTCTTTCAGCTCTGTATCTGCAGTGCAGTGGGCCAGTGGGTCCGAAGATGCCTGGATACCACACAGTCGTTGAGAGATGCTGCGACTGCCATCTGGTGCTGTCAGCATCTGCGAATGCTCCTGAGGTGTCACGCGCCTGAGGCATTCTAGGCGCAAGACTCGTTTGCTGCTTTGTGAACTTGAGAGCGTCTCCTGTGATTAAACATTGCGTTCGTCATGCACCACTCTGATAGCGTGCCTGGGTGATGAACTAAGCAACATCACCATCTTTCACATGAGGGGTTCCTTGATTCACTCTGGCTTTCAGCTCTGTATCTGCGGTGCAGTGGGCGAGTGGGTTCGAAGATGCTTGGATACCACACAGTCGTTGAGAGATGCTGCGACTGCCACCTGGTGCTGTCAGCATCTGCGAATGTTCCTGAGGTGTCACGCACCTGAGGCATATTATGCGAAGGACTCGGTTGCTGCTGCGCGTGCACTTGAGAGCAGCTCCTGTGATTAAACATTGCGTTCGTCATGCACCACGCTGACAGCGTGCCTGGGTGATGAACTAAGCAACATCACCATCTTTCACATGAGGGGTTGCTCGATTCACTCCTTCTTTCAGCTCTGTATCTGCAGTGCAGTGGGCCAGTGGGTCCGAAGATGCCTGGATACCACACAGTCGTTGAGAGATGCTGCGACTGCCATCTGGTGCTGTCAGCATCTGCGAATGCTCCTGAGGTGTCACGCGCCTGAGGCATTCTAGGCGCAAGACTCGTTTGCTGCTTTGTGAACTTGAGAGCGTCTCCTGTGATTAAACATTGCGTTCGTCATGCACCACTCTGATAGCGTGCCTGGGTGATGAACTAAGCAACATCACCATCTTTCACATGAGGGGTTCCTTGATTCACTCTGGCTTTCAGCTCTGTATCTGCGGTGCAGTGGGCGAGTGGGTCCGAAGATGCTTGGATGCCACACAGTCGTTGAGAGATGCTTCGACTGCCACCTGGTGCTGCCAGCATCTGCGAATGTTCCTGAGGTGTCCCGCACCTGAGGCCTTCTATGTGAAGGACTCGTTTGCTGCTGCGCGTGCACTTGAGAGCAGCTCCTGTGATTAAACATTGCGTTCGTCATGCACCACGCTGACAGCGTGCCTGGGTGATGAACTAAGCAACATCACCATCTTTCACATGAGGGATTGCTCGATTCACTCCTTCTTTCAGCTCTGTATCTGCAGCGCTGTTGGCGAGTTGACTCTAAGCTGCCTGGATACCACACAGTCGTTGAGAGATGCTGCGACTGCCATCTGGTGCTGTCAGCATCTGCTAATGTTCCTGAGGTGTCACGCACCTGAGGCATATTATGTGAAGGACTCGTTTGCTGCTGCGCGTGCACTTAAGTGCAGCTCCTGTGATTAAACATTGCGTTCGTCATGCACCACGCTGACAGCGTGTCTGGGTGATGAACTGAGCAACATCACCATCTTTCACATGAGGGGTTGCGTTATTCATTTCGGATTTCAGCTGTGTATTTGCAGTGCAGTGGGCGAGTGGGTCCGACGATGCCTGGATACCACACAGTCGTTGAGAAATGCTGCGACTGCCATCTAGTGCTGTCAGCATCTGCTAATGTTCCTGAGGTGCCACGCGCCTGAGGCATATCATGTGAAGCACTCGTTTGCTGCTGCGTGCATTTGGGAGCAGCTCCTGTGATTAAACATTTCGTTCGTCACGGACCACGCTGACAGCGTACCTGGGTGATGAACTAAGCAACATCACCATCTTTCACATGATGGCTTGTTTGATTAACTCCTGCTTTCAGCTTTGTATTTGCAGTGCAGTGGGCGAGTGATGCTGCGACTGCAACTAAGCTGCCTGGATACCACACAGTCGTCGAGAGATGCTGCGACTGCCACCTGGTGCTGTCAGCAACTACTGTTCCTGAGGTGTCCCGCACCTGAGGCCTTCTATGAGAAGGACTCGTTTGCTGCTGCGTGTGCACTTGAGAGCAGCTCCTGTGATTCAACATTGCGTTCGTCATGCACCACGCTGACAGCGTGCCTGGGTGATGAACTAAGCAAAATCACCATCTTTCACATGAGGGGTTGTTCGATTCACTCCTTCCTCCAGCTCTGTATTTGCGGTGCAGTGGGCGAGTGTGTCCGAGGATGCCTGGATACCACACAGTCGTTGAGAGATGCTGCGACTGCCATCTGGTGCTGTCACGCTCCTGAGGCAGTCTATGTGAAGGACTCGTGTGCTGCTGCGTGCACTTGAGAGCAGCTCCTGTGATTCAACATTGCGTTCGTCATGCACCACGCTGACAGCGTGCCTGGGTGATGAACTAAGCAACATCACCATCTTTCACATGCGGGGTTGCTTGACTCACTCCTTCTTTCAGCTCTGTATTTGCAGTGCAGTGGGCGAGTGTGTCCGAAGATGCCTGGATACCACACAGTCGTTGAGAGATGCTGCGGCTGCCATCTGGTGCTGTCAGCATCTGCTACTGTTCCTGAGGTGTCACGCGCCTGAGGCATATTATGTGAAGGACTCGGTTGCTGCTTTGTGAAGTTGAGAGCAGCTCCTGTGATTCAGCATTGCGTTCGTCATGCACCACGCTGACAGCATGCCTGGGTGATGAACTAAGCAACATCACCATCATTCACATGGGGGGTTGCTTGATTCATTCCTTCCTCCAGCTCTGTATTTGCAGTGCAGTGGGCGAGTGTATCCGAAGATGCTCGGATACCATACTGTCAATGAGAGATGCTGCGATTGCCATCTGGTGCTGCCGGAATCTGCTAATGTTCCTGAGGTGTCACGCACCTGAGGCCTTCTATGTGAAGGACTCGTTTGCTGCTTGTGAAGTTGAGAGCAGCTCCTGTGATTCAACATTGCGTTCGTCATGCACCACGCTGACAGCGTGCCTGGGTGATGAACTAAGCAACATCACCATCTTTCACATGAGGGGTTGCTTGACTCACTCCTTCTTTCAGCTCTGTATTTGCAGTGCAGTGGGCGAGTTGACCACACGATGCCTGGATGCCACACTGTCATTGAGAGATGCTGCGACTGCCATCTGGTGCTGTCAGCACCTGCTAATGTTCCTGAGGTGTCACGCGCCTGAGGCATTCTAGGCGAAAGACTCGTTTGCTGCTTTGTGAACTTGAGAGCAGCTCCTGTGATTAAGCATTGCGTTCGTCATGCACCACTTTGATAGCGTGCCTGGGTGATGAACTAAGCAACATCACCATCTTTCACATGAGGGGTTCCTTGATTCACTCTGGCCTTCAGCTCTGTATTTGCGGTGCAGTGGGCGAGTGGGTCCGAAGATGCTTGGATACCACACAGTCGTTGAGAGATGCTGCGACTGCCACCTGGTGCTGTCAGCATCTGCGAATGTTCCTGAGGTGTCACGCGCCTGAGGCATTCCAGGCGAACGACTCGTTTGCTGCTGCGCCTGCACTGAACAGAGGCTCCTGTGATTAAATATTGTGTTCGTCATTCACCACGCTGACCGCGTTCTGGGTGATGAAGAAAAACAATCATCATCTTTCACATGGTTTATTGATTCGCTCCGATTTCAGCTTTGTATCTGCAATTCAGTGGGCGAGTGGACCCGAAGATGCCTGGATACCACACAGTCGTTGAGAGATGTTCTGACTGCCACCTGGTGCTGTCAGTATTTGCTAATGCGGTAACACCCACGTCAATGTCAATGCCGACACCTCCGCCAACGTCAGTGTCAACGTCGACGTCGTCGCCGACGTTGGCGTCGTGTCATCGCCAACTTAAGCGCCGTGGTCGTTGAACAAGTCCTCGGGCCCGCCCCAGCAGGACTGCGAGTGGGGCAGCTGGTCCGACTGGAGCGACTGCTCGCATCCTTGTGGTGGCGGCCAGCAGGGCCGCGACCGCCTGATCGCCACGCTCCCCAAGAACGGCGGCGAGGCGCGACAACGGCGTGATGATGCTGGCCACGAGAAGGAGGAGGAGGAGGAGGAGGAGGAGGAGGAGAAGGAGGACAAGGAGGAGAGGAGCACGAGGAGTTGGAGGAGGATGGGAGAGGGGAGCAGACGCTAGGTGCCGGCGTTGGGGGCAGGCGCTCGAAGTTAGTTATTCTGTCGTCGCGATGCCTCTTCTAATCAGAGGGTGTCAGTGGCGAAAGTGAGCCCTCGATCGCCAAGACGGGGAGGCGGACTCTGAAAGTTACGACGATGATGACTTTTATCGTGACGGCGATAATGACGGTGACGATAGCGATTGCGGTCACGACGACGAGAACGACGAGGGATGGTGATGACGAAGATGATGATGATATGATGATGATGATGATGATGATGATGATGATGATGATGATGATGATGATGATGATGATGATGATGATGATGATGATGATGATGATGATGATGATGATGATGATGATGATGATGATGATGATGATGATGATGATGATGATGATGATGATGATGATGATGATGATGGATGATGATGATGATGATGATGATGATGATGATGATGATGATGATGATGATGATGATGATGATGATGATGATGATGATGATGATGATGATGATGATGATGATGATGATGATGATGATGATGATGATGATGATGATGATGATGATGATGATGATGATGATGATGATGATGACGATGATGATGATGATGATGATGATGGTGACGTTGAGGACGATGACGACGACGATGACGGTGACGATGACTGATGGTGACGATGATGATGTTGATGATGTTGATGATGATGATGATGGCGGTGATGATGACGAGAAAATGATGATGTTGCTGATGATAGTTATGTTGACGATGATGATGATGATGATGGTGGTGGTGATGATGATGCTGCTGATGATGATCAGGATGATCATGATGCTGATGCTGATGATGAGGATGAGGAGGATGATGCCGACGAGGATGATGGTATGGTAATGCTGTTTATGCTAAGTTTGATGATGATGATGCTGGTGATGATGATGCTGCTGACGATGCTGCTGCTGATGATGATGCTGCTGATGGTGTTTTTGCAGTTGATGATGATGATGCTGATGCTGCTGCTGATGATGATGATGGCACTAATAGCGATGATGATGACAATGCTGCTGCAATCGCTGATGATGATGCTGATGCTGCTGCTGACGGTGGTGGTGGTGGTTCTGCTGCTGCTGCTGATGATGACAATGATGATGACAATGATGATGAGGATTGTGATTTCATTGAGAGGACGGTCATGGTTAGGATGATCATGGTGATGATGGTGATGATGATGGTGGTGGTGGTGGTGGTGGTGGCAATGATGGTACTGCATGACGGATCATGATGCTGATGATGATGGTGATGATGATGAGGATGATTATGTTGCTGCTGATGATGATGACGCTGATGCTGATGATGCTGCTGCTGCTGATGATGATGATGGTGGTGATGATGATGGGGATGCTGATGATGATGATGAGGATGGTGAGGAGGAGGAGGAGGAGACGGAGGAGGATAATGCTGAGGTAGTAGTGGTGGCGATGCGGGTTGCGCGGATGATGTTGATGGGAAGTACGAGGAACAGGAGGGTGGGGATGATGAGCAGGATGTTGGACGAAGTGGACGATGGTTTTGACGACGCCGATGATCATGACGATGTTGGCGACCCAAATGGCCATGACGATGACGACGACGAACAAGACGGTGACAGCGATGGCGACAGAGATGACGATGACGATGGTGATGGTGATTGTGATGGTGATCGCGCAGGTGGTGGAAGTGATAATAATTATGCAGCTACCGGCAACGACGGTTGCGGCGATGACTCTGCTCACGATGGTGACGATGGTGACCGTGATGATGGTGACGATGATGACGATGATTGCGACCACGATGGTGACGACGGTGATGAACTGGTTGTTGATGAATGAGGGCCAGGGTGGAAAAGACGACGAGGCTGATGCTGATGCTGATACTGATGATGATGACGATGACGATGATGATGATGATGACGATGATGATGATGATGATGATGATGATGATAATGACGATGATGCTGATGCTGATGATGATGCTGATGATGATGATGATGATGATGATGATGATGATGAGGGTCACGTGGTCGAATCAAGGACACAAGACGACACACCCACACACACATACAGTTCCGTTGGTCCGCGCAGATTTGCTGAATCTGTCAGTTTATGGTCGCGCCGTCGTTTCACTTGTTTCAGGGAGGAGGATCAGCTGCAGACGCAGGGCCCATTTCGGTCCGATCGATCCGAATCGGTATCGATGTCGGCCGGCCCGACCCGATTAGATTCCGATATTCTGACGGTCCGATGTGTCCCGATGCTTGCACGACGTCGTTGTGTGTTCTTGGCGGTGCCGATCGAGCTCGATTTCGATTCCGATACACACATACACACCGCACACACCACACACACAGCACACACAACACACACACACACACCCGCAGACACACATTCACACACATTCACACACATTCACAAACATTCGCAGTCACACACACATTCACACACATTCACACACAATCTCCGATTGGATTTGACTTACCGATTCGATGCTGTCCGATCCTGGCTT